AAGTCAGGAACAAAAGCATAGTAAGGTGGACGAGGACAAGAAACTGAGCAGTGGTAAAAAGTCAGGAACAAAAGCATAGTAAGGTGGACGAGGACAAGAAACTGAGCAGTGGTAAAAAGTCAGGAACAAAAGCATAGTAAGGTGGACGAGGACAAGAAACTGAACAGTGGTAAAAAGTCAGGAACAAAGGCAAAAGGAAATTATTCTTACCATATTATTTTTTAGAAGTAGGCCTACACATCATCATTGAATTGGCCTAGGCTACAGCTGAAGTTTTAGACGGCACTTGCGAGATCAAATTTATTTACACTACAACAACATTGAAAATGGGTTGGGCACATCAGCAGAATAAAGAACAACAGATAGGGAAAAAATGTACGGAAAGGAGACCAAGAACTGGGGGGGAAAAACTAGAGGTCGATCAGAAAGAAGATTATGGCAGGACTACATCATAGAGAGGGTGGGTGCAATCTGGACGTGGATAACAGCTGACACGACAGAGTGGAGGTCGTGGTTGGAGGGCTATTCCTGCAGTGGATGAACAGCGCCTTGAATGAATGAATGAAAGAAAGAAAGAAAGAAAGATTGTTGGAAAGTGCAGGCAATACCAAAGGTGTAACAGCCAAAGAAAAGGGTAGGAGGCTACGTCCATCACGAGCTGACTATGGCTGTGATATGAACTCCTGAAAAAAATAGAAAGAAAGCGTAAGAAGCAACATTTTGAACAAGGCACAGTGCAGGTCACAGAACTTATAATTACCTAAGAAAAAAAGATGTCTTTTAAAAAGGGATTTGGATTCAGTTTTATAATCGGCTGCGAGATACTAGTGGCTAATACTATCTATATCTATATGTGTTGCATCTGAGTTATGGCATACAACATGGGCTAACCCAGATTTCGGGGGGTTCCAGAAATCTTGACCTACTCCTAAAGAGGGCATTACTTTACCTATAGGAGACGTTTGGTTTCGTTGGGGCATATATTTGTTTGGTTATAGAGAAAACTGTCCTTGTCTTTTAAGGAAACTGAACAGGGGCAAAAGCTTCAACTTTTTAAGGGAAATAGCCCATAAAACATTTGTCATGTATGTAATAAACATTGTTAAGTCCCTTAGATACACCCTTCCCTTTCCCTTGGATTCGTCTTTATTACTCAATACCGTGGGTTTTTCACAAGAGTTCCGCGTTATTTTGCTGCTCTCCGTTTTCACGATTGTTCGAGAAATCCGCGAATTTCAAGTCGTTCCTAGTGGTTCCTCCCCAGGACAGCGCCACTGACTGAAGTGTCTTAATTATGCCATTCCTAAAGGGGGGATAATTATTAACATGTTCCTATACACAGTAGAATTATAAAGGGGCTGATTTATCAATGTCATGCTCATACTTTGCCGGAACAACATAGGGGGAACTGCCGCTTTTTCTTTCCTCACCCTTACTATTGTCATTTTTCCTCTACTTCTTTTGTAGGTTTGTCACGCTCTTGTGACCCACTATTTCCGGGGTGCCTTGATAGTCGAAGCAGACTTTGTGCTGTTGGGGCTAGAGAGGTAAGCAGAGTAAGCCTGATTCCCCGTTTGGACTTCTCTGTAGGCGCTCATATTACAAGCCTGACTTTAAGCAGTTGAGAGCACCGTATAACCTTACTAAAACGCTAAAACTGAACTAAACACGCAGGGGCAAGTAACTGAGGGGAAATAGCCCATAAAACATTTGTTATGTATGCAATAAACATTATTAAGTCCCTTTGATACACCCTTCGATTTCCCTTGGATTCGTCCTCATTACTCAATACCGCGGGTTTTTCACAAGAGTTCCGTGTTACTTTGCTGCTCTCCTTTATCGCGATTTTTGGAGAAATCCGCCAAATTCGAGTCGTTCGAAGTGGTATGCTAAAAGGGCCACCACTGAACTCTCTAATTCCAGGTGATTAAGATATTATAATAGTAGGCCAATATAGTTTTGTTGTAAAGCACTCGATCTCTCAGTTTCCAGATTAATAAAATGTTATGTGAGTTTTACTGCAACTTTATATTTAGTCTTAAATTGTTTGTTTTTCAATCGTCTTCTGTGGGTTTTTTCTTTTTCATTATCCTTCCCTCCCACTCCCCTTTCCTCTTCCCGATCCCTCCGCCCCCCTCCCTCCCCCTCCCTC